TGCTGAAGCAGGAGGCGGAGGACGAGGAGGACAGCTGGGCCACGGAGAACGGCAGCGAGCCCTCGCCCGAGGAGGAGGACGAAGACGACGACGACGACGGGGGAGACGAAGAGCGAGACCGGGGCTCGGACAGCGACGGGGAAACTTGGGGGGGGCTGGATAACGTAGACGGGCCGAGGAAAGGCCTCGCTGGGAGGGCACAGTGAACACAGTGCATTTCATGCAGAGACATACTCATGCACATAGAGGTTCTACACTCACACACACACACACACAAAGATTTAGACATACAGGCATACAGCACAAACCCATCTTAAAACATGCTGGTCTTCCCTTGGCCCCCCCCCCTCCGCTCTCCTTACTGCACATCACTGTGTCTTCCTCAACAGAACACAGCAGAGCCTTAAGTGTACAGACACTTCTAACTCAGGCCTCATGGTCCATGACTAGTGAACTGCAGAAAGATTAAAGTCAAGGGGAGATGGCTGCAGAGCATTTGAACTCCTGGCATAGCCATGAGGGAAGTAAACGTGACAAAAAGAACATAACCTCTTTGAGAAAGAAAAATATTTCTTCTTTTTACCCCCCCCCCTCCCCCCACTATTGTTGTTGTTTATATCTAAATAGGGGAACCGCCAAACCAGACACCAGAACTGAGCAGTTTATTCTGATGGATTACAACAAGCACATTGCAACAAGAGTACAGGGCAAAACCAAACTGAGTATGTTAATCTTTTTGTTTTTGTGTTTAATGCTTTTAAGTAATGTTTTCTTTTTTTGAATTTATGAATAAGTCCATGCATATCTATATACCATTATATTTTGTCACGTATGTGTTATTCTGGTTTCATATATAAATTCTTTAGACAAGTTTTTCTTTGAGGAGCTTTCCTGAGAAGATATTCAGATGGAAAGAAGGGTAATTAGAACTGGCTGGGTCTTCCTTATCAGCAACATATGCTTAGGTCTGGCTCTTTTGAGCACATAGGCTCACTATGGATGTCAGTGATAATCAACCAAGATAACTCTTATTTTGTTGCAGTGACGTTATCAGTTTCTGTTTTCAGGGAATTGGCATTATTCTATTTTGCTGTTGCAGCCAGCGTATGCTGTCAATGCAGGACGTATCTGTGCCAAAGTTCGGAAAAGTCATCTGTGGAGCGTAAGTTTGCCTCCTGCCAGGGTCTCCAGCTACAATCAGGCAACACTCAAAAAGCAGAGTGCCCCTTCTCGCATGCACTAAGATGCCACCCTCAAGCTCATTACAGTTTTCAACAAGCACACACACAGTCCCTCCGCTCTCTTCTCAGCGGTAGCAGATGTGCCGGCCTGGCCCAGAGTGTCGGGACAGAGATTAAGACTTGACCGTATGTGTAGCACTTTCACGATCCCCCGTTCAAGTCAGGCACATCTCATCCCTCCAGAGTGGAAACCCTGTCTTTTAGCATATTCCCGTTAACATGACTTATTGCAACATTAGCATAATGAATACAATCAACCTTAGAGCACTCCCCGATGATGTCAGAGGATGAATACACACGCAAACACAAACAGCAACACACAGCAGCAGTGTGTGCAACCACACGTCAAATAAAGGCACATGCTGGCCAAAAGCAGGAATTCTTATGGAAGACATTTTGGAATCAGACTCAGGGCTTTTCAGTAAGGACCAAACCCTAGCTGCTCTTTCGGCAGGCTAGAAACAGGCAATATTTATGTGTGTATTCTTGATTATGTGTGGATTCTCAAACCCCCGCTGTGTGAACTTAGAAGGCAACAAGTCTGACAAACAACACGGGTGCCCGTCTCGCTCTGTAGACATGGAAGCTGCCCATCATAATCTTTATCATCGGTGCCCCACCGGCGCTTCCACCGGCATCCGTGCAGCAACCTGCCATCTCATCCCTCAAGCCATGGTCTCATCTAGCCTTCTTGCTTATAATCTCACTTCTTTTTTGAGCAAGAGCAGAGGATCGTGCGTATATGTGTATCACTTCTTTATTGCCAAAATGACACAGTAAGCGATTAGCTGGGAAAGCATGGCTAACAAACAATTCAGAGGTTTTTTTCCGTCTCTCTTTGAAGCAATATGAACATTCTCTCTGTAGCAGTGAGACTTGCTTTTTTTTTTGGTTGTGTGTGCGTGCGTGCGTGTGTGTGTGTGCGTGTGTATGTGTGAATGCTTTAACATGTTTTAGTCACTGGGTGAATGCCCTCAGCATGGTGCTGTCACACAAAAAGTCGTGTGATAACCTCATCCTTCCTCTCTCTGCTGGGCTGTCATGATGTAAGTGATGGTAATGCTGGCAAAACATTGAGATTATGTTGTCTTACTATTTTTTTTTTTCCCAACATGGCCAACATGTTGTCGACCATCTGTTTATGTCAACTCTTGTCATACAAAGAAAAGCCATATACAGTAAGAGGCACAATAAACTACTTTTGTGAGAGTACCTGCCTTTTTTTGTGTCTTCTCCTTGAAGTCTTTGTCCCTCCTCTGCAATACTTTGCAGACAGTGTAGGGCTTTTGGGGGAGGGGGGCTTCTTTTCACCTGGTCTCAGCAGTAGAGGGAGCTCTTGCACTGTGACTGCAGAGTCGGCTTCATGCAGAAATGTTGGGGGGGTGGGGGGTGGGGGGCGCAGGTCTGTCTGTCATGCCAGTAAATTACAGCCTCCTGCTGAACAAGGACATCAGATAAAGGTCTGCCCCTAAGATTTGTTCACTGTGCCGTTAGAGGAGAGCAGGTGTTTTAATGAAAAATCTCAGAAAGACTCTTTCCTGTGGTTTTGTGCTCCAGCACTATGAAGTTGAAAAAAGTACAAACTATTAATCAAGTGAATTTTTTTTAGATCATTTAAAATGTAATAGAGAAAAAATAAAAGAGAAGAATTGAATTCCAATACCTTCTTATACAGAAAAATGTATAAATGTATACCTTTGAAACTATTGTAAAATTAGGATATATTCAGAATCCGATATGATATGGACAGTATTTCTGCTTTTTGAAAATGTTTTTTTATTCAAAATCTGAAACTGTGACTGAAAAATAAAATATTGGGCGATGCCTTTCGATCTCAATCAGGGTCACTGCTTTTAATGCAGAAAAATAAAAGGAATTTATACTTAAATCAAGAAAGTAATTTAAGAAGAAAGCGTGAGCTGTCTTGTATATAACCAAAAATAATAACTAATTAAAACCAAATTCACTGACATTATCATCTTATCTTATTCGAACAGGCATTCGCTTAAAAAAGGTCTCCTGGTTGTAAACATCTCTTTTCTGGGTGTCAGCGTGGGATACAAATTCCTCACCCTGATTTTATTGATAGAGGGCCAAAGAGAATCAGAAGAGGGTGATAAACAGAGATGAGATTCTATCAATTATACGATTGCTTTAATTAACTGCCATTAAAGACAGATCAATAACACCAGACTGGAATTAAAATAAGGCCCATACATTATACACTATTTTACAAGAAACAATCAAATTGCCTCATATACTGGGAACCCTTCAGAGTGTTGCCATGGTAACCCATGGGAGGACTTGGGATGTGCCTGAAGGAATTTAAAGGAGCCAGGTTTATTTTCTATATATTCAATCTTACATTAGTGAAGCTTCATTGAGTAATTGCATAGAAATTGGAAACAGAACCAACACATGGAAACAAAATATAGCATTGTGTAACCACTGAAAAAAGGATGTAAAGTCTATTTTGTAATATATACATACATTTATGTATGTATATATATTTTTTACGACCACGGGCCATCAATTATTCACCAAAATAGTAAAGATTCCATAAAAGTAGGTCACAAGTGCAGGACGCCTTAGGAATTCATTTGAATATTTAAAACCAAGGAGGGACCTTTTCTGAACATAAGCAAACTGCAGTGCACCTTTAGCCAACACGCAGGAGAGATAATGGACCAGCAGAGGCTGCCGCTCCTCGGAGAGTGATAAGAAGGATAAAGCTCAGTGAACCCGAGTGCTCCTGGCAGTAGTTAGGGAGGCAGGGTCTGAGCGCACGGTGCCATAAAGCCACGGTGTGGAGGTGCATGTGACCTGGCTCTGATGTGATAAATAAAAGGCGGGTCTTTTCTACGAGAGCCCACGGCTATATACAGAACACAGATATATATACACATGTCATATACTGAGAGCATGGAGTAGGGAGCAAGGTCACTATGTGAAATGGCACATCATTTACTGTGTCCCTCCAGCTTGGGTCAGAACAGACAAAAAGGACATGCCTGTCATTTGATACATATGCGGCAAATCCATGGAGAGTAGGGAATCAGTCAAGGGGAGAGAGGGTAGGTGAAAGGAAGGTGACAAAAACCAAGTGCAAAGACCATAAACTCAACATCATCCCCTGTTTGAGAGAGGAACACTATCTGTCTCACAGGTACCTGTGGATGGGAACAGAGGACATGGTCGGAAGGAGGAAAAGGAAATAAACAAGGCCAGGTAGCGGGGGCCGATTTGGGGAAGGGGAGAGAGCACCGGGCAAGAAGGCGGCGGGGTCATAAAAACTAGGAGATGTGTTCTGGCCTCTGGGTCTTCATATCTTTTACATTTCTAATTAAAAGAGATAAAGAGTGAGGGAGTCATCAATCCCACAGTGATTTCCCAGTTAAGGTTTTAGAGGGGGCTGTAAACTAGGCAGCCCGGCATCATTGATTTTATAATTAGCTATCGTCACCCCAGACTTAAGATGGAGGGAGTGTGACGGGGGGGAGGCAGGGGGAGAGCTTAAAAGAGAGACTTCTTGAGGACTGGGGAGGCACAAGGCTGAGGATGATTAGCAGGTCAGCCCCGAGGGGAGCCAAAGGTAAGAGGAAAACTCTGAATGAGGGACGGGTCTGAAATGGGCAGTGAGCTAAAAGTGAATATAGGCTACAAAGATGTGCAAAAAGAGATGAGATCGTTAAACCGGTGAAATGTCAGGTGAGAAGCAAAATACTGCAATGGTCTGAGGCCAGAATAAGACAAATAAGCCCCGCTGACGGATAGATTTTATTATGCCGAAACCCGCCCAGATTTAGTTACATGACTTTAAAGAAAATACACAGAAGTGTACATGTGGGATAACCTTCATACACAAAACTTCAAAACAAGCCGTAACTACTGGAGCTCTTCCGCAGTGTGAGTGGGAGCACTCCCGGTGGGCGCCGCTAAAGTAAAACTTTCTTAAGACATAAAAGTCAACGGCAAACGAGGACAACAGAGAATACAGTTAGTGTGCCATTATCCTGGAAGGAGAACACAACCGAAACGGCTTCAGACTTCTGTGGGAAAGAATCAAATCTGTAGTGAAACGCCACAAGAGGAAGGACAGGCTGCACCGGCATTTCCTCTCACCGTGTTATTATTCCTCCCACCAATCGCGTCTTCCGCATAATTTTACATCTAACTGAAACCTAACCAGCTGGTGTCATTCCTTTTCATTAGCACCAACACTTTTTAACAACGTGTCACAAGTATTTTGAGCAACAAACAGTAAAAATAAGATAGGTAGACAAAATACAAGTCAAACACCACAGACAATTTTAGAAGTAATATATTGAAAATCGCACACTCCGTGTATCAACGTCTCAGCTAAAAACTCTTCTATGGTAAAAACTGGGTGCAAATACAGCAGGTAAAGTCAAGCATCGGGGGATTTAGAGCAACATTTCTTTGCCAAGCGTGGAAAACGCTGTCTGCTACATTGGACAAACGGAAACTCCCTTTTCAGACTAAACCTGGATTGAGTTTAATTGTAACATAAGTCAAGTTAATTATAAATAGAAAACCATGAAAAATGCATACGGTATTGATTAAAAAGGATGACAGTATTTCTTATTAGCCAGTACTCTGCCGTAGGGGGTTAGGCGCTAACACCAGCACCAAATTGCTGATGTCATGTAAAAAATCTTTTTAGACTTATACTTAATCATTTCAGGCACACATTTAGAACTGCAAGACTGCGAAGGATCATTTCTGTACAATATAAACTTTAGTAATGGCTAAATAGTTAGATAAACAATTTGACATATGGATTCAAGTGGATTTCAATCATTATGAAAAGCAAATCCCTCGCTCTTAAAAAATAGATAGTGCAGCTAATCAGAAAAGCTTGTTAGCAACAATCTCTCTATGATGATGTGCAGATACTGAATAATAAAGTTGCATGTGGCATCTATCTTAACCGACATTAATCAGCTCCATAAGCTTTCTTATTCAAAACTTGGAAAGCATCGGCGTCACTAAATCATCTCAACTGCATCTGCATGACAACAATCAACTGCTAATGTGGACAACAAAGTGCGTATCAAACCTTAGCTCTGAGTAAATGGAGGAGAAATATGCTGTCATAGACCTACATTATTGCAATATATTTTAGCGTGGTGCTGTGTCGTCGCTTTATGCTGCCATGAAAAGTGTCCAAAGCAGCGGTGGAGAATTTAATGCTGGAATAGAGTTTTGTCATGATTTCCAGTGGAGCCGGGCTTGCACAAAACATCATAATTACAGTGCCTGTCATGACTCCTAATCACAATTGCCATAAAAACGACATAACATCCATCGTAAAGCTCTCGACACAGCAATGATTCAACAGAAATCATTGTGCTGCGCCGCGCAAACCCTAAAAACGCCAGCGCCCCGCGCCTAAAAGCCCGCCGCTCCAAACTTTGCACCGGCCTAGCCTCGGCCACGAACGCAGCACCGCCCTGGCTAACCTCTGGCTAAACGGTCAAAGCAACGACACAACTGTCTACCGGGGGGGGGAATAAACATGGCTGACAGCAGATATGGTATAATTGCATATGAACGTTTCTCTAGTGTTTTCAGTGAGCTGGTTATGTGCTTGTTAGCAGACTCGACTTGTTAGTGGGCAAACTCCAGCCGGGTCCTCCTTTTGACTGTTTTTAGACGGCCTCTTCGACCCACCCCAAGGCTAGTCGTCCACGGGTTACCACAGCGAGGTGTCGGCAAGATCACTGGAAGGAGGGCACAAGGCAGAGTGTGTGCGTTAAAAATGGGAAGAAGCACACATTCTGGTTGAGAGATGAGGGCTAGACTGAAGGAGCAGGTGAGTGGGAGCGCCAGAGCCTTAATGATGCTGAAAATTGGCCCGTGACTGTGGTACACCCCTTGGGTAAATCATTGCTACAGCTTGCTGTCAACTTGTCTGTCCCTTTATCCTCCCTTCTAGCCCCCACCCCCACCCACTCTCCACGCCCCAACTCTGTCTCCAACAGTCTCCCCCGCTTCACCCTGGCTCAACTTCTTTTACGACTGCATATTCAAAACTTCCATCTTCCAGCCACAGTCGCCCCGTCACCATAAATAACGGGCCGCATACGCCCGAGCGTGTCTGCAAGCTTCGCATTAATAGCGAAGCCACGGCAGGGAGGTAACTCGGTGAGCTTGTACCGTAACTGTGCTTTGGTACAGCTTGCATAGTTAGGGCACATCAATACATTTTTCAGTTGGTAAATATTCTATGCTTTCACTTGTCTGCCTCTCTGGGAAATATATCAAAATTCTATCTCCTTTGCTTTTAGTAGGTAGGTTTGTTCTGTAATTTAGTTGCACGCCGAGGCTGTGCACACGCATCGAGTCGTAAAAGGAAAAACATGGAACCTTCCTGGGGTTTAAAACCAAGTATGCGCAAGCTCATTTCCCACCGTATAAATTTTCATGTGCAATGTAATGCAAATTTCCTTTTTTTGAACATGAAATCTTCCCCTGAGCTGAACCTGTTGCAGTCACCTCACACAAAATGGTGTCACTGTCTAAGTTTCTACAAACAGAAGAGACCTGACCCCCTGTGGTTGGAATATTATCAAACATGCCAGCTATCAGTATAAACTTTATTGTTTCAAAAGATTTTGAGTCAAGGACACTTTGTGGAGTATTGCTTTCACACTTCCTTGTTCCGCGTGTGTTTCTCTGGTTATTTCTAGTATATTCTGTGTCTGAATGATGGAGACTGTACCTGAGAACAGTGTCCGTGTGCTCGGGCAGCAAAAGGGCCGTTTCCTCTCCCGAGCCGTGTCTTCCACACTGAAGCGGGTCTGGTTCTTCCTCCTAAGTAGCAGAGGAACACGCACTCACTCACACCCACGGGGACACTTAACTCCAGTGGCTATTACCGTCTAATAACTTGCAGACTAGCGACCTAATTGCTTCCATGAGATAATGTCCAAATCAAACGACTCAATGGCCATGTTTAACTGGGGTACGTGTTTATCAGCATGAAGACATAGTTCATCCTCAATATCACATGCAATTACGCTCGGCTGACGGTGAGCGACTCTGATCGCTCGTCTCACCGAATCAGAGCTGTGCGCCTGGGTGTCAGCGTTGGCCTGATGCGCCAGGGAGAGAGGGGCAGGCTGGTTGATGACCACCGCGCTCCTGTCCACTTCCTTCGGGGAGGAAGGCAGCGTCGAGAGGAGCAAGGAGTCCGGCTGGCCCTGCTCGCACAGGCCGTAGTGTCCCAGAGGTCTGGGGGCGTGGAGTATCTGTAAAGCCTCGGGGCTCTCGTCCTCCGACTCGGACAGCCCGCTTTCACACGCTGCTGAGACAGAAGAAAAAGAGGTCACTTTTTCCGCAGAGCTTTGCTCCCGTCACGCGCAATGCCTGCCGCGCTGAGCAATATTTACTGCCGCAGTCGGGTGGCGGTTGAAACTTTTATTTCACCTGTAGAGGCCACGGGAGCAGCTTCCCACCTGGCACCGGCCGCCGTTCCCAGCTTCTGCTCCAGCTGACAGATGTGCTCCATTAACTCCTGCCGTGAAAAATACGGACATCGCATCAAAACCCATGTAGGGACCTGGATCAGGGCTTCGGCAGCCATCACACATATAACCCTTATGGCGTATGACTTCTTCAAACCAAAGCCTCATAAAACTGTTACGCAGTAAACAAAAAAATACAACTTGTACTATATAAATAGTGCTATCGCTGTACAATAAATATTTGAATCCTGGTTTTATTTATTGTGTTCCGCAGACTGCCGGCCACGCTCCCAAATGGCCGACCTTAAAACGGAGCTGGATACTGATTTTAAAAACACCGACTGCCTGCTCTGCCTATACCTGGCAAATGCGATGCTGGTTAGCCAACAAAAACTCTGCAGGCACATTAACAGCCACAGCGCTGACTGCCTTGAAATCCACCGTTTTATACTGCACTATAAACAATTTATATTGCACAATAACAAGTCAGCAACAACAGAGGAAAGATTCCCAACACCTGGGGCATTCATACTACCGCCATACCTGCTGTTTTATCGGTGGTTTAGGATACAAATGTATTACTAAAAACAACATTTTTGAGAAAGGAACAGAGCCTGACAGCATTCAAGCCTGTGCCTAAATCTGGGCTAGATTTAAACACGTGCCTGGTATGTGATAAATAACACAGCATCACAGACAGGGGCAGCTCTCATGAAGCAGGTAAAAGCCTGTTTTTGACCTGCTTCTCAGCCAGAAGCTGCTCCTTCTCCTTTTGGGCGACCCTCAGGCTGGCTTTCAGCTCCTGGAGCTCCCTGCGTGCTTCACTGAGCTGGACCTGGGAGACAGATATCGTAAAACTAAAGGATAAAAATGTATCTTAACAACTTTAAAGATAATGTGACAAACGGGGTGTGAAAAGGTTAAGCGCCACGCACGCCTCACTGCAGTTTCTGACTACATCTGCTGTCTGCGTGCACAAAGCATCTGTAACGACCACATAAAGCTACCTGTCAGAATCAGAATCAGACTGCCTTTATTTTCATTATACATAGTATAACGCGATTAGAGCCCCCAAAAACAGTGCATAATAGGAAAGTATGCATAGAAAATATGAAGTATATACAATACAAACATAATAATAAGATTATCGGTCATAAGGTGCAAAGGGATTTAGTGGTAAAAAATAAATATGGTGTAAGTGGTGTGTACAGATTAAAAAAAAATATATATATATTGCACATAAGAGTATGTATTGCACATGGGATGGGTATCTGTCTCACCCGGTTGCAATCTTTTTCTCGCCCGCGCTCAACCTCCAGCTTCACCAGCTCCATCCTCTCCTCCCGCAGCCTCTCCTCCATCCTCTGCATCTCTGTGCTGAGTTTGTCCAAACGCTCGTGGTCCATCTGCCGTTGGGACAGGCAAACACAAACACAAACACACACTTGTAATTACTTTTGCTAGTTTTAGCACTTCAACTTCGGGCAGCGAGGCCCCTGGCATCTCCAGGTGCCTTGTCCCTGGCAACGCTTTTCACCTCCGCGGTGCGCTGCAGATTCTGCCTCTCCTGGGCCCAGTGGGCTCTCCCCTCTCTCAGGGCCAAGCTGGAATCTGCCAGTTGAAGGGTGAGCTGAGCAGCCTGCAGGCGAGCCTGATGCAGCTCGGCCTGCCCGTGGTCCCTCTGGGCGACCATGGCATTTAAATCGCTCTTTAAGCCCTCTGCGGTGCGCTCGCTCAAGTGCAGACGCTCCCGTAGGCTCCGCATCTCCTTCAGGGACGCCTCGCTCTCTGCCTGTTGAAAAAAGCAACGGGGGGGAATGTGTTGGCTGCATCTCTGGAACTATGGGGGGGTGTGAGCTGTCAAAAACGTCTTGTAATTATGTTCACGTTTTGGACTGGAACATACTTGTTATTCGTCAGTACACTAGAGTTTGCTTATGATGACAGCTAAACACATTTCTTACCTTGTGTCCACTAATAACCAGTGTAAAGGCTAAGTAAAGGCTAAGCAGCGAAAAAGGTATTTAAAAAAGTTTAAATAGCAAAATACTTTTTCTCTCAGTGAACTCACTGAAGAGTTTGTCACAGGCGGTCACATATTTATTCAAAGCTTCAAATGTCTGACCTCTTTCCTGTGGGCAGTGGTCAGTTTCTGGGTGAGGGTAGTGATGGTGTTCTGGAGCTGCAGGACGCTGGTGTCTCGCTGTGCGAGGGAGTTCCTCAGACCTTGAAACTCCTTCGACAGACTTCTGAGCTCTGCCTCTGTCTGTTCCAGCTTAGTCTAACGGTCAGAGATAAATGGCCCAGATGGGGGAAGTCAAACAGAGATATGGAAGAAATAAGACCAACAGAGACACGAGTTTTAACACGCTGCACAGCGTGAGATGCACTGTAACTACCTGCAGACTTTTTCTTTCACTTTCCTCCTCTTTTCTCAGCACGGCTGCCCTTTTGGCTCTTTCCTTCATCCTGCACAGACACAGGCAAATGCACACACACGTGCACACACATACTTGGTTATGGACAATCAAAACTATTTATGAGACCCTAATAAAACTGAAAGAGAAAAGGGAGAGAAAAGGTCAAACCTCTCCAATTCTGTCTCTCTTTCCACAGCTCTCTGTGTCAGAGTTGTGATGTCCTCTTCTAGCTCCCTGATTCGCACTTTACTTTCTTCCTTGGCATCCATCAAAGCAGTTTTCTCCTGGGCGAGAAAATCTCCCAAAGCCTGCTGCTCCTAAATGACAAAGAGGAATTTTCTCATTTTTTCGGAGGATCTACAGAAACATTTTTAATAACTAACACAACGTCAGGAATGTCTGTTGAGGGACATTGTTGAAGCCCAGAAGATTCAAATATGAATTTATGAATATAAATGATGTAGTTTGTTTGATTAAGCTCCTCGCACTACCTTCTGTTTTCGCTCTATGTCCTCAATCTTCTCTAGACTCTGTTTCAGTTCTTCCCTCTGTCTATCGATATCCAGTTCCAACCCTTTGCGTTGCCTGTCCCAGGCCACCTTGGCCCTTTTGTATTCCTCCTTTTCTTTCTCTCTTTGTTTTTTTGCAGCCTCCTGCAGCAGCAGCAGCTCAGCGCGCTCCTGCAGACATTCTTGCAGTCGACTCTGACAACAGACAAAGGGGGAAAAAACATGTTTGTGTCTGTTTGGAAGCGATAAGTAGCTGCCCTGATTTCCCAGGATGTGTTTCATATGCACTCATTAATAATGCATCCAGAGGACAAATTTACCCAGTATCTCATTAAGAGGTTTTACTGTTGTTTAATTGTTTATGCTCACCTGCAGCAACTCTGCCCTGGGCACCACCAGCAGCATGTCAGTGCCTTCCTCCTCTCCATGAGAGTCTTCTTCAAGGGTCACGAGATCCTCAAGTGGCTTTGGTGCACAAAAAATGAATCTGGAGCTGCATGAGCACACTTCCCCTTTAGCATCAACATATACAAACTCGTACTCTTGGGAGCTGGGCTTGGGCAGGTAAGAGGCTAAAATGGTGGGAAAAAATTGAGGTCATATCAAAATAAAGAAACATGGAAGGATCGTTTTGTTCTTGAATGGCCTTCTTTCAATATAGTTGATACTTTAATAGTACTTTCATGAAAGTGAGTAGTAGTTCTTTGGGAATTAAAATCAAAGTTGCTAATAACCCAACCTAAGTGAGTATTTTTAGTGTGCTACAAAATGTTATTTTAATGTACAACTCCTTTGTTCATGTCCTTTTCTTTTTTTCACATAAATTCTAAGAAATGATTACGATGTTTGTACACTGCAGCCCATTTTTAATGGTTTTACAATACTCTCCTACCTTAACTATTGCTACACCTGACCATCATTTTATATTCGTCGTGCCTTTAAAGGTATAAATCAGTCTTAGGAATGAGTTCTGTAGATGGGTTGTAATACCACCTCCAGCCACTAGTGGCAGCACTGCGGTCATGCCGCGAAGGCGCAGGTTAGAAAAGGATGAGAAGAGGAGCGAGTCGAATTTCGTTCATTCGAAATGTTTATGGGCGTCCATTTTGACACAGGTGAGTTCCCGGTCTTTGTTTTTATAACAACGCCAAAATAATATAAAAAAGTAGCTATGGCGGTTACATTTTTCAAACACATTTTGTTAGCTACATATTCTCATGTGTTTCTTTTTTCTGAGTCTAAATTAGCCCGAACAAGCTTTGTCTCTGGCTTCGATTGGCTCCACTCCCCTGCTAAACTGACTTGAAGTCACCGGAAACAGTTCACGATTGAATGGACTGAAGATTGGCCTCTTTTCTGCAAGTTTACAGGTAAGTGTATTATGTTTGTTGGTTGCTTAAGGTGAGTCACTCAGGCTTCATTTCCCTACAATAACCTGTCCATTTTAATATGACGTCGCAAACAATTGACCTTTAAATAAAATAAATACTTGGAATTCATCTAGCTTTTAACGCTTATGAAATGTTAATGTTTTTTGCGTTTATTTACCTTTGTTGCACACTGATGTCTGGATTATTTTAATGGCTAAGAACATTTACACAACCTATAAAATCCTCAAGTCTGTTTAAATGCAAGAGATGGATCGATACAATTCACCTTTCATCAGAAAGCTACTTTAACTTTCTGTAACAATTTATACGAAGGCAAAGAGCATTCACCTTTTAGGTAGTTAACTAAAATCAATATTTTGTGAGTGATTCCATCTGTGGTTTTTCTTTTTACAAAATATCAGTATATTCAATTAAAAAAACAAAAACAAAATAACAGCTGTTGGTTCATTTTTGTGCTTTTTGTTTGGTATAGGCTTGGTTTATATTCCAGTTTAACCACTTGTATATCTTCCCATTGTTGATGTTCTTCTCAATTTAATTGTGATGGAAACTTTGAACAAAGTGGAGGAAAAGCTGTGTATCTCTAATCTGAAAACAACCAAGCCATTGTTTATTACCTAATCCACATTAGTGGGTAGGTAACAAGTGTCAGCTAGTGTGTTTGGATGATGCGCTTTCTTCTTTTCATTACCTAATTTAAAAAAAAGAAGCTTTGTTGAATATTCTTATTGGCTAATTATTTGTGTGACCAAGTCAGCAGGTTGTTTTGTCTATTATCTGTTCTTTCCACGTAGAATAGCATGAATAGTATGCCAAAGTTAGTAATAAACCTCTCTGCCAGGGGTCAGTGCTACACCTGCTGCACACATGTCACTGACAGAGACTCTGGCTTACCTCACCCTGTTATGGGACAACATGAACATTGTATTTTCCAGTTGGCAGTCGTGATTAGCAGAGCAGGCTATGAGCTATTGTCTTTGTCATCCTCATTACCAACTCCCTGCTGACTACAGAAATGAATTCAAACCATGACAGAGATGGTCTGTGTGAGAGAACAAGCTAACCAGGATATTTGTTTCCCCCACAGGATGTTTCTCTTTTAAGGGGGAGATAATAAATAATAATCCTCACTCAGTGCAGTCATTCTTATCCTTAAGCTGTGTTGATTTAAGATCTGCTCTGTTTGTGATAAAGGTCTAAAACAGAGGTTTGGGTACCCTGAAAATGCACGCAGCAGTTGACATCTGTGCCCTCTTGATAGTCAGCTGGGGCCAGGGCCCACACAAATGTTTCGTAGTCCTTTACTGATGACCATCCCACCTGAGGAAAGGAACATCCACACATTGTCACCTTGCAGCTGGTTACTTATACTCTGTATGTATTCCATTTGCACAACGGTCGTCGTAGTAGACGTACCTTGAAGAGCCCGACCCAATCATTGCTGGTCCAGCTGTGCTGTGAGCTTAGCGTGTAGTGACAGTCGACCCTGCTCTGAGGGAAGTAACAGCAGCCGATGTTTCGAAACTCCACCTGCCCCACCTTGTCCATGGCCACACAAAAAAAAAAGGCCAGCGATCTTGTACCTTCAAGGAGGGTGACAAAATGTGGAAATTGAATTCAGTTTATTTACTGGAAAATCAAGGTAGAGACCGACATGTTTGGTCAGCCGATTGTGAAATAGGTAAGAGGTGACAGCTGCTCAACCAACATGAGCTGGCCAGGATTCTGTGAATATTTATTTAGTGTAAGAAGATAGCCTGACTGAGTGTTCACTTGAGGAAAGGACACCACAGCTAAGCCCCAGTGACAGTGTGATCTTTGAGCAACATGACATATTACAGTTTTGGCACTGGCTATTTTGGTCATCGTGGAAATCGTTTGCTTTGTACTTCATCACGTGTGAGCATGCATTGTAAAGAGTTTGGAATTCAGATTCCGAAAAGACATGCCATGAACTCTGAGGTACCTGTCTGCAGCTGCCTGCTAATAGAAAAACATGATTAATTTAGCACTTTGGGTGCCATGTGACCTCCAGAATAGATCACGTTTCTCATTTGGTTAATAGCTAAAATTCAAACTAGACCTCCTATACCCAATTAGAAGATTAGTATTGATTACTGCAGGATTTTCCTAGTTTTAAAATGAATACGTGTGCCTGTAATCCTTGCTTAGTAGTCACTTAGATACTTGTATAATCTTAACAACTGCAGTCACTTTAGAGGTGTCTGTTTTAATGAAGAAACATAAACTGACCAAATGGGAAGAGTTGTGAGTTGCAAATCACAGATCAGGACGGACATTTTCATTAGCTTTCTGAGGGTTTCATGTTACACTGCACGAGGCTTGAGGCCCAAAGGCAGCACATGTCGATGAAACTGCCACGGTCGACATAAGTTTAAGAATAAACGTGTGATAACCGCGAACAAAGGCCTGACCCTCACGCGCACGGGCTAATCACCGGGACTCGGTTTGTTACAGTAACGGAGGGTGAAGAAAACGGGACAACGCAAGCTTTGTCAACTTAAAAAAACATCTGCGCACATCCTGTCAAATCATGATTTTTTTTAGACCCGCTTACCTTTACAACCCTCCCTTTTTCAGAAGGGTTTGAAACGACAAAATACGTGCCAGGTTCAGTTGATATACAGGGAAACGAGCAAAACTGGTCCAGGACAGATGTACTTTCCTCCAGGGGCTTCGTTTCTCCTGTTACCCGAAACAATAACAAAAAGGGGAGAAAAAAAAACAAAGCAAAACACAAGCACGACAGCTCCACTTCCACCGCTGAATTGTGGGAGCTGCTGTTCAGGACCGGGATGGAATTGCTCAGTGGTGTTGGGCTCAGGACTACAATCCCCATGATGAACCGGGCTGAAGGGTGAACGTGATGCTCCTCATCCGCCGCCGTTGTTTTTCGCATCAGACTACTTTGAGGGCCAAGAACCGCCGCTTGTCCGACTGAGTCGCCAATGAAAATGAGAGTTTCTTGTTTGCGATGAGGGAAAGTAACCACTGACATTTCGAATGGTGGATATTATTTTTTTTAGAAGTGTGCGCTCATTATATAACGTGCAGTTATCTCAGAGTAACATTTGCTAAGTTTCCATAAGGCAAGAATGTCGACTGACAGACTTTGTTGAGTCTCTCTTCCAATGACCCAGACCGTGGCGTTTATTTCTGGTGTTTTTATACAGTTTTCTTCTTTTAAAATTGTAGTTTGAATTTCTGTCTGGAAACCCAGTTCCCTTTAAAAATGTCCACCATCTTAAAGTCACATAGTAAATCAGATTTAGGTTAGTGTCTATTAATAATGGTCCATTTTAGATTTGTGGGGGAATTGTTTTGTTTTTGTTTTTTAACCCATACCATTTCTCCAGCTAACTCCAGTTGTTGCTTGAACAGCACAATTTTGGTAACGAACTGACTGCTTACTTTGTGCTCTCTGATGTTGAGAACATGATTTTAGGCCACTGGGCAGCAGGTGGCAGTGCACCATCTTTGTAAAGCCAGAGCTGCACAGTCAGGGAGTCACTTGCCGACCATATTCTTGAAACCCACTGAAACACACTGCATGAGGAGCTTTGTGAGATTAAGATAGGCGCCCCTTCTTTCTTTTCACTCATTCATCTGGGTGTAGAGCTACAGCTCAGGTTTTACATGAAAATAATTAAATAACTTTATACACTAAGCTCTGACTTGTTTCGGAACGGCACACTACTGGTTTTACTTTTAAAGCAATGCCCAACTATATTTTTATGTAATAATATGACCCTTTTGTTATTAAATTATGTTAACTCCATATTTTGTCTCTGACCCCTTAGTTATAAACTGATGGGATCTAAAGCAGTCTAATTCAACTTCACAGAAAAAGCTATCAATAATTTGGCAGGTGAATCCACTGAAAAGCAGAGATCAAAAAATAAAGATGGACCATGCTATTTAAGGCTATCATAGCTCAGTTTGAATAATGGAAATCAGACGACACTGTAGTTATTGACGAGCTTGTGTTGGTCGTTGCCTCTTGTCTTCGAGTCATTCCAGCCCCATGGAGCGTCGCTCCTTCCGCAATTAGTGAGTCCGATCACTGTGAGGATACTGAAGGACAGTCGATGTTTAAACCTTATAAATTGTGTTGTAGTGGATTAAATGTGCTTTGAGCCTGTGTGAGCAGAGTAGCTAAGCAAGCGTTGTCTCTCTTGCAGTTGTTTAATTAAAACGGTTGCACTGTGATGACTGTTGTACAGTAACTGCTGTTTACAAGTATGTTACAGAACAAGACATTGTTAAATAGATATGGCTTCCTAATTTGTTGTCCCTGTGTAGCCTCAACATCAATAGAAACCGTTAGAAGAATCCCCACTCTGTCCCCTCTGCTGACTTTGTTGTCTTTTGCAAATAATAATGAGTTTGTGGTAATGTTTAAGACAGCATTACAGGAGGTGCCAGACGGCATTAAATTTCAAATGTCACCCCTGAAGTAGGAAGATGTTTGTGCGATTAGAACATGAGACTTTACTTTTATAGAGATTGGACAGTTGGTGGGTTGTCCATGAAACTGCTCCGTCTTGACCTCGCTATCCACTGTTATGGCTCCTCTGCGTGTTAAAATGTTCCATCATTTTCTACTTGCAAACATACAAATATGCCTGTCCTCGGAAATCTAATCACATGGCTAATATCTAGGCATAGAAGATGGGATGGAAAGGGTATGTTTTGTGAAGAGCTCACGCGTTGATGCATGTGGTTAGAGGAAGAAAAAGCACCTAACTGTTCTGCCACAAACATTTCAGCATGTTGTTTATCAGTTTTAGAACTACTCCACACAAATTTTATCCCTGTCATCTGCTGATTTCTAGCAGCTTGGCTTGGAATTCCTCTCAACATAAGAAAATGGTATAGCCCCCGAGTGCTACTGCAGTTTTATTACCTGAGGTGGTTTGTCTGAATATAGCGTACCACATGCCTCATTCTAAGGGAATGGCAGGTATGTGTCACTGGTCATAAATTGCAACTTGCCTTCAGCAGTAATCGGTTGCCAAGGAAACCTCAAATGGGATTATGACCTTCTGTTGTGTACAGGCAAGTAAACTGTTTGAGTTGTCAACATCCAGGAGAGGAGCATAAAAGATTTATGTTGGTAAACAGTTTATTTTCTCATCACACTAAATTAATGTGTGATGTGCCTTTTGTGGGAATTAAAGTCCTACATTGTGAGCCGGTACTTATTTTCCTAAGATATGCAAACAGTATGCGCAGTTTGCGTTTGAACGATGACAATTATACCCCGAGGTGAGCGATGAAATCAAAGAGGCCTCGTGACATATATTCAAAAAAAGGAGCCGGAGAGGCCGAAACAAAGAGAGCAGAAGCAGAGCGCCTGGAATCAGGGCAGAGTGTTGGGAAGGCGGAGATAGTGGAAAGGGGGGACGGTGGTATTTAGTATGCACGGCCAAGCTGCCCCATCTGCTTAGCGCAGCAGTCCCTGTCGTATAACTGTCTGCAGGCCGTGGGCCACATAAAGAATGTCTCAGATTTGATGTAATTCCGCAAAATTAATGACAGCTTTACTCGGTATGAGCCGTGAGGGAATGATTAGTGTTTGATCGTCCATCTGATCAGTTCCCTTGGCTGGCTGCAGAGAGATGCGCCACTATTTGCTGGTATGTTGTCTATGGCAAGCACACGTACAAACACAGGTACACCTTCTCCAGAATAATTTTTCTGGCCCCCGTGCTCTAGTTTATGTTTGGTGTCTGGTTTCCCTCAACAAACACAAGCAATATGTTGTTAAAATCTCTGCGCTGTGACACTTCACATCAAAATAAACGCACACTGCAAGGCTGGATGTAGGTCCCACTGGTGATGTGATGGTGTACAGGACACTTTTATATCTGGCTGTGTGATATTTCAAAGGAAAGTGGGCCAAGCAGCATCCAATTTGGAGAACTCAGAGGTCACGGTTTGACCTTTTACAAGATATGCTTTACTGCACCTGTGATTGGAATTGGATATTAGTTTTTAAAAGAGATGGGGAATGGATTGGGAGGCCGAGTTGGGGGTGGTTGGGGGGGAATGGATCCATTGATTGGATTGCCGGAGTTCGACAAGTGGAATACCTCTCGTCTCTTTAATTCAGCCCCACCTCAGTGGGCCCAACCCCCATCTCTGTCTTCGTCTTGGGCTGCTGCGTTTACAAGCGAAGGGGGCATTCTGTTTTACAAGTGAGCCTGGTGGGTCTCGGTGTGCTAGCAACATTAAAACTGAACTCGTCTTATCTGTGCAAACTGTGTGGCTTTACATCAAAGGCTGTCGCGCCGCTGCCATGAGGCTCTTGTGTGCTTTTATGTAATGTGGTGCAGTCAAAACCCAATGGACAATTAAAGTGAGCTGATAGATAAAGAACTGATTGAAGACCTAGATTGTGGAATGCTCCATGGAGTTGGGGAATGGTGACTTGATGGTTTATTTTTGTTAACAAGGCCAGATGCAACACCTGACATTTCTCCAACTGGCCTGGATCGAAGTTGACTTTTCAGAGTTGTACCTGTTTTGTGCTGAGTTGCATACATCAGAGCTAATTTCCCATTTAACCATTAGTACTCTGGTCAAATCCCAGGCTTGGGAAGCCAGACTAATTCAGCAATGGCTTGGTGGTGGAGGGTGATTCTGCCAACACAGATTGTTGGACAGATTGGTAATCCTTTAATGTGTTTGGATGCAGTGTTTTGTTTTTCCTCTCCCTAAAACTGTAGACCATTATAACAAATTACTTGCACAAACACTATTAAAATAAACAAAAAAAAAACTGGTTCCAGTTCAGTTGCAACTCAATTCATTATCCTCTGTTTTCCCCTCTGCTCTGTATTTTTCCATTTTTGTTTTCCCTTCCATAACGCTGTCTTTCCAAATTACTTGAACGTGTTTCCTCTTGCCTTGGTCCTCCCCTCCCAATCGGCATTCTCTGATCCCTTTTTATTTTGCTCTCTTTCTTGGCCCACTCCTCCTCCCCCACTGCTTTCCTTTTCTCCTCCTCATTTTATATTTTTGGCTAAGCTGAGGACCTTTCCTGGTGCAGTGACCTTTCTGGTTTTAAATTAAGCCCCACTGCGGCATGTCTCTCTTCATAGACCGCCAGTTACGAGCCTTCAGAGAACCGCAAAAAAATAACGATTCTGATGAAATGGCCCCTTTAAAAAGCTCTTCCAAATTCCTTTTACATTTTTCTTCCCCTCCTCCCCCCTTTCTGGTTGCATTAATATTCACACTAATGAGGAACATCCTAAAGATCAGACCATGGAAAATGTGAGATGAGACGCATGCACATACCTCACCACGTGCACATCCTACACACACACACACACACACACACACACACACACACACACACACACA